CCACCGAACATCCCAGCGTCTGTCCCGCTGGTTGGTGAGAGCCACGCTGCCGCCCCTGTCCTGCCCCTTGCAGAGCGGTGCTGGAGCCAGAGACCCTCCCGGCTCGCACGGTGCTCTGCCTCGTTCTTAGCTCTTGAGACGCTCTGTGATAAACAACGTAATTCCCTAAATCCCTGATGTTTCTTGTCCAGCTGAACAGCTGCTCTCCGTGCTCGGGGAGCGCTGCTGATGGCAAACAGGATGACGATCTGCCCTGGGCGGAAGGCTGTAGGTTAGCCAGGGCAGGTAACGCTCTTGAAGAGCATCAAAGATGTCTGAGGTTTTGTAAATTACTGTTAGCTAACAGGCTGAGAGTTGCACAAAATTGTACAATTACGAAGTGGTGTGGTAAAATTACCGGCTTCACGTTTGGGTTCTTAATTTCATTGTGCTGCAGTTGCTTATAAACAGCAATTCTGTCTTCCTTATTGCTGTCACCAAGCGTGGCAGTTATAGCTTGGGCAGGGAGTGCTGGATTGCTGCTGGCAGGAAAATAAGCCATAAATTATTTTTTTCCTGGTGTAACACCAGACAGAGAGCTTTTCCTTCAGGTCTAGAAAATCTGAGCAGAACATTTGCTATAGCAGCACCTGAACTTCTTCATCTTTAAACCTTCCTCTTGCAGATGCTTTTGATAATGATTTGATGCATACAACCTTGAAAAACATTGTTGAGGGGAAAACAGTTGAGGTACCCACGTACGACTTCGTGACCCATTCTAGGTAGGTTTTGGTCTTGTGTGAAGTCCTGGGGTGTGTACGTGGATGTCTCCGGCCATGCCTGGGGACGGACGGCTTGACCATGGGGCGAGACCCGTTTAACACCGTGCTCTGGGTGTTTTTTCCTGGCAGGCTGCCAGAGACAACCGTGGTCTATCCTGCTGACGTTGTTCTCTTTGAGGGGATCCTGGTTTTCTACAATCAAGACATTCGGGACATGTTCCATCTCCGGCTCTTTGTCGACACGGATTCCGATGTCCGGCTGTCCCGCAGAGGTAACGCTCTGCCGTCACGGGCAGCATCCGCCAGCTCGTGCTCCTTATCCATCCTCGGCCATGTGGGGAGACTCATGGGTTTTATCTTTCCTTCCCAGTTCTGCGAGATATGAAACGCGGGAGGGACCTTGAGCAGATCCTCACCCAGTACACCACGTTTGTCAAGCCTGCCTTTGAGGAGTTCTGCTTACCGGTACCGAATGTTTCACTAATTTTCTTATTTTTTGGGGGGGCAAAAGGAGAAGGAGTGGGGTCGCCTGGGGGTTAGCTGCATTGTCGACGCAGCAGTGGTGGCTTTCGATGCTGGTATTTCACATCCTGCGCTCTCCCCTCTGCCATATCTGTTTAATCATTACAAGCTGCTTGTTTAAGGAACTTTAATGGTTGGTCCCTCATGTTGCAAAGCACCATGGAAATCCCCGGAGGCTGCACACACTTTCTCACTGCTCGCTGCCATGGCTATTTTAGCATGGCTCCCTTTGACTGAGACACTCCCACTCAGCATTTATTCTGAAGTTCTGCAGGAAGAAAGAAGAGCTTGGTTTCCAGCAGGCTCTCTCTCAACAGCGAATGCTGGTGAAAACCTGGGACAGACCATGACAACGCCTGCTGGCTATGTAACGTGGGGCTAATTTAGGTGCTCACGTAATCAACTTAATTTGGAGGAAAAAAACCCCTTTGAGACCAAAATGCTGCATGTGGATTAAATAAGATGGAAAAGGCTAGCTCGGGAGCCACTTGCTCTAGATCAAAGCAATTTGGGATTGTAAAAGTACTCATTAGAAATGCTGAATTTGCCAGCCTTTTAATAAGCGGGGAGGTGGGAAAGCAGGGACTCTGTGGTGGTAAAAATCAATAAAATATCATCAGAGGCAGGAAGGAATTTCCCATGCACATTGGGTACCCTGGCTCTCAGCAGAGAGCAACAGGTTGTGAAATGCTGATTAGAACCAGTTCTTAGCAAACAGACCTTGGCTTCCACATGGGTGACCGATTTGAAGGCAGGGCACTCTTCAGAACTGTAAAAGCAGGTGCTCCATGCTTGACCTACTGCTCCTACCTGCAGATTCCCTGCAAAGAGGCAGTAGGGACAAACCCTGACCTTAAATCCAGTGCACGTTAGTCAGGGTGGCTTCTCAATTCATGTAGGTGTTACCCTGACAGAGCTCTTTAACATACAGTCCCAGAGCGCAGAAACCCCTCCATCTTTGCCCTCAGCTTCCTGGCGTTTGGTAGCTTCCTCCCCGAACAAAGCTGGCTTTTCCCATTAACTGTCCCCACAACCGCTGCTGTTTTGCAGACAAAGAAGTATGCAGATGTGATCATCCCCCGAGGAGTGGACAACATGGGTAAGAGGGAGTTTGGCTCTCTGTCTGATTTCTCTGGGGTGGGGAAGAGAGCAGGTGGCACACCACTGCCTTGTTGGCATGCTTCTAAGGGAAGGTGTAGGGGAGGGACATGCTCAGAGCTGAACCGGGATGACCAGGGGCTCAGCCTGTGGAGGGCTGGAGAGAGGGACACGCGATTGGAGACACAAAGCAGGACACCAGTGTTAAAGCTGGTGTTGCAGTTGCTGGTTTCTGCTGAGGTCTGACCTCACTGCAGAGGGCCGGCGTAGCTTCATTTAAGGGCTTATTGTTAAAACTTGAGTTGAACAGGGCTGGATGCTCCACGTTTTCTAGATAGCTTGGCCAAGAAACCCCACGTGTCTTTTACTTCCCATTCCTCTCTCCAGTTGCAATAAACCTCATAGTGCAGCACATTCAAGACATCCTAAACGGAGACATCTGCAAGTGGCAGCGAGGCGCAGTGAACGGACATGGTCGGACCTACAAGCGCCCATTCCCTGAACAGACGGAGAGCAGCAGCGTGCTGACGGCCGGCAAACGCTCCCACCTGGAGTCCAGCAGCCGCCCGCACTAACCCGTCCGAAGGATTTGCCTCTGGTCCAGACCAACACTGAAAACAACTTTGGGAAAGGACTTCAACAGAATGGTTGGTGAAGCGCCCTTTAAATCATCCTAGTAACGGAGGGGATACCAGTGTGAAACTTTTCACAGAGGGGAGGGGAAGGAGTTGGCCTACTGCCCCTGTCCCCTCCAGAACCCCTCCGGTGTCACACTGCCATGTCTGGAGTGATGATGTTACTCGATGAACTGGCTAAAGGCAGATTTTTAATTTTCAAAATGAGATCTGATGCTGAAGTCTCCCCTGAGAGTTAAGTGCTATCAGGTGGTTAGCAAGATACCCCATTTCCCTGATGATGATCCTCCTTAGCAGGAAAATTAGCTGCCTGTTTATCCAAGTCTCTTTATCTAGGAGTAGCTCATACCTGTTAGCTGCTAACATAAATAAGCAGGTGCCGTCCTTATTCTCCGCCCTGTTGGGGACCTTGCCTTCTGGCATTGCTCTCCTGCCAGCCAGCCTCCTGTTTAGCCTGTAGCAGTGTGTGGGGGCAGAAGGATTGACCTGTAGAGGAATCTGTCCCCTGAGACAAATGGGAACTTGCAGTTCATCAGCGGGACAGGCCCAAGCAGCTGTGGGATTCTGGTTCCTAATTTATTCCTTTCCAAGCTCCTGAACCTTGCTACACGGTATGATGAATTTTTGTACCCAAGTAGTCTCCTTTATCACAGTTACTGAATACGTGAGCTCCAACTGGATTGAGTCGCTCATGGAAACAGAAACCTGACCTTGTCAGTATTAGTGTCTTTTAGGGCATTTCCGTACTGCTGGTTGCAGATTCTGCTGGGCGGAATCCGTCCACTTCCAGAGCTGGGTGGTAAGATCTGCAAGGGGGGGAGCTGCGAATGCAAGACCCTCCCTTCTGGTGGCACAAACAGCTCTCTGGACATGCTTCTACCCTCAGACAGGGTCAAAGCACTTGCCTTGCACTTGGGCAATTTAAACTCAAGAATGTCTGGCTTGCTAAAAAAGAGCAGACAAGAGGCTGGAAGTGTGAACAGTGACATCCCAGTTTCTGTAGTTTACCCCAGATAAGTGATACTGCAGCAATATGTAGTTTCTGGAAAAAAAATTCTGAAATGAAGTGCTGGTTGGGCTTTTGCAAATGTCCTTGTGGTATCTTTGAGTCTGGACTTAGAGTGTAATTTTAAGAATGAGGGGGGAAATATTAGTAAGAGGAACTTTTTCATATTTGCTAGTTTTCTAAAACCAGGGTCTGGTGGTGTTGGTTGTGGGTGTGTTACTTCGGCTAATAAAGAAATGAACAAACAGTGAGCAGAGATGGCCATTTTCTATGAAAGGTATTTGTGCTACCTGCACTGCACCAGCACAATGGTACAGAAAGGAACACTTCTGGAGATGCTCTTTTACTCAACAGTTCTTCCTCCCTTTAACTCAGCATTGTTAGCGTTAGTTCTGTAATGGCTGAAGCTCTAGAGGAGGAAAAAAAAACCCCAAAAACCTTAAAAAATGCACTTTTGTCCGTATAGTCTTTTCAACACTGGAAGTTAGTGAAAGTTTGTTAGTGATCTCCACGGTTAAGTGGCACACTCCTGCGATGCCGAGGAGAAAGCAGTTCATTTCCTAACTGCTGCTGGGTGCTGCTTAGCTCAGGGTGACAGAGTTAGCGTATGAGCTGATTTAAGCAGGAGCAAAATAGTCACTAAACCCTGCTTTGAATGACTGTGGAGTTTGATCATACCTTCCTCTGGGGGGGGGGAAGCTCCAGGCAGCCTTGAATAGCATTTGTTAGAGCAGTAAGGCACTCTGCAGTAAAAAGCACCCTGATCTGTCTAGGACTGCTGTTCGTGGTCAGCTCTGAGCTGTATTGCAAGATCCTGCTGCTGCAGCCACATGGAAAAAAAAAAATCAAATGTGGTGTAGGTACTATAACCCTTGTTGAACAGAGTACAGAGCTACTGCAAATCCCCACTGAGCAATCCCAGTCCTTCCCTTGCACCTTCTCCCACCCTGTGATTTCCTCTCCTGGTGCAGGCCAGGGCTGAGCTGCCTACAATGTTTTAACCCTGAACCTGTGTACAAGTTAGAGCAGGTTTCCATGTCAGCATGATCAGTTCTGCCTTCCCTAGAGTTCCTCTTCCCATGAGAGCTGAGGTGTAACCCTTCAGCCCAGTACATACAACACTGACATTGCTATTAATGGGCCCCAGGCTTCATGTGAATGCTGCAAGGCCAAAGGATTCTTCTGGCTCTGGCTGACTTCTTGGCCTGCCTGAAGCTGTTTTAGCTGTAGCAGCATTTTTTTTAATGTCTGTTTATTTTTGCTTAGCTTCATCAAAATTATGGTTATGCCAAATGATTATACGTAGATAACAGTAACAAGTCATTATTCTGTGCAGCATGAACTATTTATAAACGTGGCTTAATGCTGTGATGTAATGAACTAGGGATGATAGGAGAGCTTTGAAGGGGGGGAAATGATGTATTGTTGAGGAAAATAGTCATGGGATGATGCTGAAGACTGCAGGGCCAATTACTCATCCTTAAAGATGTAAAGAGATCAGAGCTGGGAAAACCTAGTTAGGAGTAACAAAGAAAATGGACAGGTATCCAGTATGTTGGAGATTATCCATTTATAGTAACTTGTTGTAACACGGAATTGCAGACCAAGGTGCTAGGGAACATATAAAATAGCCCAAAGTGCAACATAGTGCAAGCAGGAATAAACCATCAACATCATATTCCCAGGAAAGAGGAAGAAGAAACCCCCGCAGTGTACTCTTCCTAGCAAATGACCTGGGATGCTGTTGAGTGAAGTCAGCAACCTTCAGCCCGTGAGGGGCAGGAGAAGGGTGACTGTAAGATGGGGAATCATACTCATAACAGCTATGTAACAGTTGAGACCTTTCTTTTTTTTGTAACAATATTTTTATTTTTCTGTAACAATTAGATCTGGACTGCTATCAATTATTTGATCAGACTGTTAAGATGTCAATTATAGTAACAATAAATTCTTGGCTTTGCATAAAAGGCGTTTCCTTTTGCCTGTAATGAGACTGTAACTCACTGTTTGCGGATAAGGATGTTCCAGCTGTCCTTCCAGCGCAAGTCCTTGAGTTCAGTAACAGACAGTGAGGGCTCTCCATAGGTCAGAGGGCTGAATGTGCAATAAACAAGGTAAACCGAAGAGAACCAGGCTACGATCAGTGCACTGAACATGCTCTTGAGAAGCAGAGATCTGGGATGAGAGAGGAAAAAAAAGCGCAGTCAAGTTACAACACGGCTGGCCCAAATGCTTCCAAAAGGAAGCCCTCCATCTGGCCTGTCTTTTCTAAAGGCAAATGCCAAACGGCCACTGATGGAAAACTGACTGCTTTCCCTGCAGCAGCTTGCCAAGGAGACAAACCTGGAGAAAAGAACTGCATTGCTTCTCTTGTCTACCTGTTAAAACCAAATACCTGCAGAGGTGATTGCCAAGATGCTGCAATACGATGGGAATCAGGAGAATCTGGAAGGTGAGGGCAGGCAGGTAGTGGTACAGGAAAAGCGTTTTCTCCATCAGGAAGAAGGGCAGGTAATTCACAGCCCAGCCTCCAACACAGATCCCCCCGGCTGACACCCACAGCTGCCATGCATCTGCAGGAGACAGGAGACACCATCTGAAAGCACTGGCTCTCAAACATAAAATCTCTAAGAGGTCACCTACTTGTATGGTTTGGGTTTTTTTTTCCCCATTCTCTACAGCTTGTGGTAATACAACCTTTAACTTAACCACGCTCACCTGAGGGAAAGGGTTGCACATTGTCACACTTTTATGACGTACCCATGGAGACACTGCAGCCAACATGAAGCAGCTTCACAGTCAGACAACAAAATGTACTGCCAGAAAAGTCAGCACAAAACCGCCCCCAGCCGCACAGAGAAGAGGGTACCTCAGCTGGCACAAATACATCCAGAATAAACCCCTCCGTGCACAGCCAGTACCTGCTTCTTTTAAATCCTCCCAAAAGGGCTCAGTAGAATCCAAATCTGATGCGTGGAGATTTCTTACATTCAGGGAATGATTCAAATAAATCTTATGCTGACTACTACATTGTCTCATAAGGTGATGGTCAAATTGTGATGACCATGATCAGTCTCTTCATGGCCTACCCTTGTTTGTGTGTGCCTAATAACAATTTCAGGGTTAGTGGTCAGGGGAAAAAAAAAAAAAAAAAAAAAAAAAAGTGCCAGTATAGCCAAGCACACAGTTGCAAAAATGTGGCTTTGGGGCCATTAAAGTACAGCAGAAGAGGCGACAACCCCCCACCTCGACACACACACACAGTGGAATCAGACCTTCAGGAATGTCGTAAATTTTTCTTCTTCGGCGTATCAAGTACCACAGGGACAGACATGTGTAGACCAGAGCAGCAACATTAGCTGAACCCCAGGTGACAACGTTCCCAAGGAGGTGGATCTGGGCCTGCAGAACAGAAGATGATCTAAGCCAGAAGCAGGAACAATGCTGCAGGGCTTTTAGGTAAGTTTAATTATTAGCTACACAGCTTTGCTAAATTAAACTTCAGCTTGTGCCTGGCTAGTAATCTGATCTTTCCTGGAACAAAGCAAGTGAGAAACTTTGCTGCTTCAAGAGTCTTTTGTAATACAAGGCATTTAAAAGATGCTATTGGAGATGAAGTCTTCTAAATGGAATCAATAATGAAAACGATTAAACTGCAGTTTTCCTTTAAAAAAAATATGCAAGAAGACATGAGTTAATTAAAAGCAACACTGTCAAAGCTGTAGCATATGCCAAAAAAAACCCCCCCAAAAAACCCCAACCCTCAGGAAAATATATTCTTAATACAGGAGGAGTCCCTCCTGGAGCAGCTCCTTGGCTGGAACTGCAGCCCTTCTCTCCCTCACACTCAGGGAGCTCACAGCTGATCTGAAGTTTGCAGGTTCACGTTTATTTCTACCTCTTGTACTTACACCAGAGGTTGGATGGAGCCAGTAGGCAATATTTGTGTCCATTGTGATCCAGTCAAGAGCAGAGGAGCTGTACTTATGTTCTGTGTCTTCATTTTTTAAGGTGAGTATTTTCCACTAGAATAAACCAAAAAGCAAACATAAGGTTTTCAGAATAGGAACAATGAGTGGGATAGCAGGCATGGGTGAACAGCTACAGATGTAAGATGTGAAATTCTAAACCTGGGAGTGCAGAAGATTTTGCATGTCCCCTACTGGATACTGATCAATACAATGGTTTTATTTTGTTCTTATATAATGCACTTAGTGAATTTCTACAATGTCAGTAAGGGGCATCAACAGTACTGACTGCATATACAACACATCACAGTTCCTTTTCAGACAGCTTCTGGGGGCCCTACTGATCTTTCCCCCCCCTTTTTTTTTTCACACAGTCACTTGTGTATTCATTGCTGAGTAGCATAGGTCTCTAATGCCCTTCTAAGTCCATTCAGAAATATTTTTTTTTCCACTGTGGAAACCAAACTACTCTATCAGCAAAGAATAGACAGTGAATGCTCAGGCTCAGAGTTTGCACAAACGCTCAGGTTCCTGCTCTGCAGCAGAGGGAAGGATGAAGGGAATAACGAGACACTCACCTGCAATTCTGTGAACTTTGCCATGAAGCTGAGGTTTTTACTTATGTCCATCTGCGTGGGAGAGTGGAGTTCCACCTCCCTCTCTTTTTGCTCTTGGCCTGGACAAAAACAGCAAAGTTCAGAAATAACCATGCAACAGGTAGAAAGCCAGAAATGGGAGAGAACAGCTATGATACACCCCTGGCTCCTCACACTCCCAGGAGCCCTTCTCTAATATAGTCCAACCGCGAGAGTGCTCCAAGGGGGTTTGTAAGGATTCTGACAGCATGATAGAGCCAGAGCCTGCTG